GGTGCTCGCACCCTCTAACAGCACAGATACTAAAACTGGAACTGTACAGAGATTAGCAAGGCCCCCGTGCCACGCTGACACAAACGCACCAAGTGTTCCGCATTAACGCAGAAAGACTAGGGAAGGGAGGGGCAGAAGCCACCTCCTTACATCTGAAGGTGACCTTGAGCCCACAGTCAGGCTTTTCTCTTCCTCCTTCCAGAACAGTACTCGGTTGTTCAGAGGTTAAATGATGAACACAAGTCCCAGGCTTTGCTGGGAACAATGCCTTTTCTTAAGAGCATCGCAGGTTTAAAAAAAAAAATGACTTAGCTGTAAGCTGATAATCGAGTAGCTGTGGTCAGACACCCATTCCCCAGCCTCACTATTCCAGACCTGGCTATCACATAACGCCCATTAGGCTCCAGTAATCCGCTATCAACACGTTTTACAGCCATTTGAATGTTAAGGAGATTTTTATTAATGGTTCATGATCCTAAAATGTGACTAGTGGTTCTGGAAACATTCTAGTAACTCCGAGTTTTGATCTTCTGGTTATAATGTAGTCAGTCTAAGGCTTCTGGAGGTTAAGGTTGGGATTGGGCCTACCGGAGGGCGTTCACTGGACCCAATACCTAGGTCTCAAAGTACCTACCCTCCTGTCTTGACCTGAGAATGTGGGAACAAAGGTTCACAGACAGTGTTTCCCAAGAAGTGTTGGTTGTCCCTTCACAAACTGTCCAAGGTGGGGGGAAGGGGAGCAACCAGCCACTAAATGGTCCCAGGGCTATCAAGCAGACTAAGAAATCCTCAGTAGGAAAGCCCCTTCCCATCCTTGCATGGGGCTATCAAGCATAAGAAACCCTCAGTAGGAAGGAAAGCCCCTTCCCATCCTTGCATGTAGATGACTTTTGAGGGAGGGTGGCAGGGGATTCCACCTGATTCCAGAACATCCTTATCCCTCCTGGAGCCAACATGGGTCGATTCAAGCCTTACCAGCTTACCAGTATGTTTGCTATGGGATTCTTTTTTATTCGGCTTGTTTATTTGTTTTCTTCAAAATACTGTTTCCACTAAGAATAGGAGGTAAGGGGTGGAGGAGGCTGGGGAATAAAAGTGAGTCCTAAGCCCCATGCTGTTAGACTTTCCCTCTAGGAGAAAAACAAATTTTGAAGTTGCCCCAGCCTGGCACCCACTGTCGCCTTTGACTAAATGGATTGGACCTGGTAGGGCTCCTTTATTTGAATCTGCTTATTGTTTGTTTGCAGTCAACAGTGGGTTGGTTTTTAAACATAAAACCTAGTGCTGGCAGGAGGGGAAGTCTGGCTGCTTCTCCTTAGCATTTGGGAGGGACCTCCTTTGGTTGCGAGGACTGTTGCATAGTAGAGGGCCTTTCAAATGCATTACCTGCTTCCTCCTCTCCAGGCACTTCCCCAAACACAAGTTTCTTGCTTCCGTTTCCTCCCAAGCGTTTCCATCAGAAAAATCACCTTTTCCAAAAAAAAAAAAATGTATACGCCCTGCTCGAATTGAGCATAAAACCAATTTTAAAAACACTACTCCAGTTGGAAAGAGAAGTCCACAACTGTCTCTCAACACACTAGTCTACTACAGCTTCGCGTGTAACGTTAATTCTGTCTGAGACAAACCCCTATAATCCGTGCAGTTGCACAGCCAATCCCCCCAAAATATCGGGGTAGCTCTCCTTAGGGGTTTTGCTCTCCCCCTCGCAGGAGTAGACTACCTTCGGTCTTTTATGCCCCACCAACCCAAGGGCAGAACATAGGGTTTCCGGGAGAATCAGGTTTATCAGAGCAACCTGCGCTGACATGGTGAAGGAGGATTACCAAAGAAACACACGGGTAAGTTTAGAGCACTGCTCGCAGACATGAGGATGCAGATGCCGTGATGGGGCACAGAGGAGGACAGGTTGCTGTCCTTCCTGATGGCTGAAAAGGAAGGCAAACATTCAGGCACAGGCCATTGACCAACAGTAGAACACAGCCCCTTCCCGTCCTGTTTTCTGCTTCTATTTGTGTGAGATGAGTCGGCTACCTGCCCAGCTTCTTTGTGTACGTCTTTTGCATGATTAAAACACACCTCTGCATGCAAGAGACTCTACCTAACATCAGCATACCCGGTTCTGGGTACAGCGTCGTCTTAATAACAATAGCGAGTTTCTCACCAGGCGTGAGGTTCTCGGCTTCGAACTTGTGATGCTGGCCCGTCTGGCGGCTTCTGATTAAATGGAGATCCGCACTTGTGTGAGGCCTCTGCACTGCAGGTACTGGAAAGGGATGAATTGGCAACCAGGCGACACTCGGGACACCGAAAGGAGCCGCTTCCCCATTCCATAACTCGTTTCTGACCCTCTGGGCTGCCGCACCGGATCCCAAACCAAAACCACCCGACGCCCGTGGGGAAACGAAATGCAAGGGGTGGCAGTAAGGGATGAGTGACACTGAGTGCCAAAGAGTTTCTCGAGCTTCCGACTCGGTCCCCGGCTCCCAGCAGAGGGCCGGAGCTCGGTATATTCACTACCTAAGCACCTGGCTGTCCTTGAAAATACCCAAGGGCAGGCCCAGCTGGGCGCCCCGGTTCGAGGAGCATCAGGAGTCCTCCAGCTGAGTGACCCGCTTCCCCAAGCTTCCGGGAGCAGCTGTCCCCTCCCAAGCCGCCTGCGGCGCACCCCCGGAACCCAGCAAAGCCAGCCGTCGCTCTCCTCCAGGCCGGCTTTCTCCGCGCGAGTCGGATGGACGCGGCTCGCCGGGCTCTGGTCTGCTCCAGGCCGCTCGGACGCAGGAAGCTTGCCTCCCAACTCGCTTTTCAAACACCGAAATTGACTTGACCCCTGAACTCTCATGGGCCCGAAATGTCCCAGGGACACCCACCCTCGCTCGGGCTCAGAGTCTGCGGGCATGGCAGGGCGGGGTCACGCTCCCCCTTTCTGGCTACGATGCCTCCAGGTCAGGGGACAGGGCAGGAAGGGACCTGCTAGCCTAGGGTGAGGTCCCAGACCTTGAGGGAGCCCCAGGATAAAGAAAGAGCCACCTTGCTAGGCCAGAACCTGCATCCACTGGCAGGGTCCAGTGCGGCCCAGGAGCCGCCGCCTGCGCCCTTCGCCCCAATTCCCATCCCGGGACACAGCTGGGACGATTTTCCTAGCAAGTGACAATTGCTAGGAAGGGCAGCCCTGAAGAAAGAGGGTCTGAGGCCCTTCGTGGGCTGCCTCGACCAACCAGGCACTTTCTCGAAGTTGCTTCCGGCCTCTGCAGCTGCTCTTTCTGGGTATTTGAGTGGAGAGGTGGGTGGGAACGGGCACACAGAAGAGGTGAGATTAGACCAACCGGGAGAGTTGAGGGAACTGGCCATTTTCTAAACCTGGAGGTTTCGAAAGCCGGAACTTAATTGGTTTGATTGAATTTCTCTTCTGATCTACGAAGGGAACACTCAAGGTGAACCCCAAAGGGCCAGGCATCTTTGTAGAAACGATACAAGCTTGGTGCAACAGATCTTTGTAAAGCCAATCTGTCCTCACACCTCACCTCTGCCCTCCCAAATGAAGATTATATTGCCGGCTCGCTTCCGGTTAAACGACTCCCAGATTCATTTGGAGACCAGTCATTTCAGTACTAAATATCAGGCAGTACGGGGCTTATTAACTTCATTAAATCCAGTTTGATTAGGAGTGGCGACCAGAACTCTGAAGTCTTTAAGCCAAAGCTAGCTTCCCATCCCACCCCCCCTCCCCTTTGCCTTTGATGGTGGGAAATCCTTTCTACTTTGGGCATCCATTCAAAGCAATTGAACTGTGTGGTCTCAGTTAAACGAAGTTGTGCAAAAGTGATGCAAAAATTGGTCTTAGAGATCTCCTTTGACTTCGTTTTCACACCCCGAAGAAGCCAAGTCATTTGCTGAGTAGCCCTAAGCTTGTCAGATACTCGTGTTTTTAAGGTACACACCCTATCCTTGCTAAGGCTTCCTGAAAATCAAAGGCAGTGTGAGAAACAGGTTATTTAGGAGTTACTTAATTATTGCATGGAAAAAAAAAACCATGCAGGATTAAAAAAACTAGATCTGAGAAAAGCTAAAGACCCTGGGGTCCCTACATCACTTCAGGGAGGATCACAGAAGATGCACCACCTCCAGGTCTAGGAGGATCCAGCCATCCAGCTCTGTACCCCGGGATGGCTGTAAAGCACTGAGTTTTATTTAGCAGTGAAACAACTTGACTCATTAGAAAACAAAATGGTTGCAACTGCTAACCTTCATTTACAGAGTTACAATCAAAAGAGTCATTGAATTTGACCAAATTCAAGAACATAAGAAGTTTAAAATGAAATTAAATAATTTTTACCCGAAGAGCACCAATCATTGGCCATTTGTCTCTTCTAGTAACTCCTACAACCAAAAATGAGACTCCAGAACACACACACACACACACACACACACACACACACACACACACACACCACACAAAGCACTCACTGACCAGGATGCCTTATGTTCAACTACTGAAATTATGGGTTTTAAAGTTTTCTGAAACTCTTTTGTTCGGAAATCATTTCTGCCTGAATTGCTTTCAGATTCTGATTACACTCTCTCATGTTTACCTCAGCTTTTTTTTTTTTAAGGAAAAAAAATGCCCTTAGAGAACTGAAACAAATTCTTGCCATTCTCATTTTTTGAAATACTCATTTTCCCCTACACACACACACACACACACACACACACACACACACACATCCCTGATCTATCTATAAACACAGTAAGTGCCTAACAAGTGAGTCGGGTTGCTAGTGGCGGACTGGGAGATATAACTCAATTTGGAGCAATCCTGAGGGAAGTCACAGAACTTCACAAATCACTGTCCTCCAGAGATCAGCAAAAGAAAAGGTAAAAACATAAGGAATAAAATCACTAATTTCTTCCCTCCCTCACAACAAACATTTTGGGACCGTGAGGCTGAATATAGGCTTTCCATTCACAAGCAATGGTATAAAATTAAACTAGACCCAGTGTTGTGCTAGAACCATTTTAATATAATTATACATATCTGCCAAATCCAGGAAGAAAGGGTTTATGCATATATAACTTCCAGTTAACATCTGCAAGCATAAATGACAATGATCTCAGCTTAAGATTCACCAGGGTCAGAGCAGCAATCAACGGCTTCCCACTGCCAGGCTTACCACCGAGAAATTACGGACGAGTCAGCATCCTTTTGCTGCTTCTCCATCCTTGACCAGAGATGGCAGGGCAACTCACCTCCAGCCAAAGTCAATCTTTCCACATCAGTGTTCAATTGCTCTGAATTTTGCTTATAATTATAACCTATTTAATCACAGAAGAACCCCTGCATAGGTGGAGTTCAAGGTTGCATACAATAACAGGAGATCACAGTTTTGAAGTCTAGCACAGGATTAAAAACCACAGATGTACCATTTATATAAGACACACACTGATTGTCTCTTAAACTACATATTGACTCCTTATGAACATTATTTTTTTTTAAATAAAGTAGTGCATCTAGGACAATCAGTCGCACAATTCACACAGCCCTGAAAAGTTTTTCAGTGCCAACTACCAGTTGGTCATGAAACTCGAATGAGCTTGGGACACTGTCCATTCCTAAGATTCAACCAAGGATTGGCTAAAAACCTCTGCTTCGAAGGGTATGTATGACCTTCCCTCTCAACTTAGATTTGTTTGATCTTTATTTTGAGTGTGCTTGGTTGCGTGTGACTAGAATATTTGTCTAATCATTTGCAAATCAGAAAACCAATGATCTAGAACTATGATAGAATCTTAAGATTGGTTTGTCCACCTCAGGTTGCTGGTTGGCAGGCCCCTCTAAGGCCTTTCATTTTTTCCTTCTATGCCTCTTGGGAACTTTGATCAGAGGAGCTGGGCATCACCCCGCCTAACTCTTTTAACCAATGCCTGGCTAAAACTGGAATGTGTCCATCCCAGGATATTTAAAAATCACCCACAAAAAAAAAATAGCTTCTACAGGTCTTCACAAAACCTGGAATTTCCATGAGGACGTCTGATCTTTATAATCCAAGCAGTCAGCATTGAAGTTAAGCTTCCAGGAGGCAGTTTGGTCCTTATAATCCAAGCAATCAGTGGTTGAGTTAAAACCCAAGCTTGAAGCTCCATATCCCTGGGTGGAAAGAGAAGCTGGGGACTGATTGAGATGGCTGGCAACTGCATTGGTACCCATGGGACTGAGTGTGGCCCCCGGTCCAGGAAGCTGGTGGTGCATAGGGGTCAAGTAAGATCCACAGTCCATGCCCCCAAAGTAGGAAGCTGAGCCAGCATATCCTTGACTGTAACCTGAAGCCTGAGTATAGGTCATAGGGTAGGACCTCTGCATGCAGGAGGAGGACGTGGACAAGGGATCTGACAGCGGGGAGATAGAGGCTGGGCTCCAGATAGACACGGGAGCACTGCTGCTGGCAATGGTGGGGACTGAGGTACTAGAGGGGGGGGTGAACTGGCCACTCGTTCCACTCTCTGAACTCACTTCCCGAGCTGGGGAGGTCTTCTTTTTGGCAGGTCTCACTTTATTTTGACCTCCATTCTGTTGCTGCTGCTGTTGTTGGCGGCACTTAGCTCTTCGGTTCTTAAACCATACCTTGAAAGGGAAAGAAACCTTTTTAACGTGGTCAGAATAACTCCATAAGGGCAAGAGGAGTCCCAGGTCCCCATGGCCAAATGACCAGACTTTGCTGCTAGAGACCACTCACTGAGGACTGGGGAAGTTCACCTGAAGGCGATCATGCTAATTATGAGGGAAAACTCTGCCTTGCTTTCCCCATGTTACCTCTCCTACATACAGAGTCCTCACCGTGTTTTGGGATGACCTCAAAATAGACCATCCCTACGTCTTTTAGACGGAAGTACTCTGCGGCTGCCTGCCACCAAGAGCAGACGGAGTTCCAACAGTGTACACTGCACTGTCCAGGAAGCAACAGCTAATACTGAGGCTGGTTCCACGACCTAACATTTTGTCTCTCCTAGACTCATAAAAGAAATCTCCAAGAAGACACGCTCCTGTGGAGAGGAGATCTGAGCCAGTGTCTGCTGAAAGACGCTTTGTAGTGAACGAAAGGGCTTGTGTGGTTTCTGCTTGGAGCTTAAAGGCAGACCTCAATACCAGTCTTCAAGACTCAAGTTTGTGCTTTCAAACTCATGCACAGCCTGCTTTCACCCCACTGGTTCACCCATTTGCTAACAAAAACAAAAAACTCACTGCCTGCCACTCTGAAAATTCTCTTTACCAGCCTTGTACATCCTCTGAGGATAGAAACTACTGGCATTTCTCTTAGCTACAGGTTCTTGTTTTTTTGTTTGTTTGTTTGTTTGTTTTGTTTTGTTTTGAAGAGGAGGGGACACACCTGGTCTCTTCATATAACTGGTTGTCCTAGAACTCGCTCTGCAGACCAGGCTGGCCTGGGACTCAAAGAAATCTACCTGCCTCTGTCTCTCTGGTGCTGGGGTTCAAAGTGTGACACTGGTCATTGACTACTCTGTTGAAGATGTTCTCTATTTGGATACTGTAACTGTAATGTCCCCAAGACCAAGCTCAGTGCCACTGATGTCCTAAGCCCTTTTGTTTACAATGAGGGCTTTGGGTCAAGAAGTGCTAAAACTTTCTCCAACCCGCTTTGAAAAATCCTGTTTTCTGCTTTGTAGCTCACAGTGACGTCTGGCACTTTCAAAAACATGTCCTGTCCAAAGGAAAGTGTCATGCATGTATGGATGAGGCGCCAAACACCAGCTCCACATGGGGTTTGCTCTCCAGTCAAGAGGGAGCCAATTTTTCTCCCCTTCGGGGTTAAAATGTGGGGAAACTAGAGCAAGAAAGGGGGATATCTTCACAGATATTAAGAGTAAAAATTTTTGTGTTAAATAACAGATAGGATACTGTCCTCAGTAAGCCATACACTTACTGTATCAACTTATTTGGTAAAAGCACTGTTTCTGACTCTGTCATCAAAGCAGGTATGGCCTTGAGAAAGTTATTTGCTCTATTTCCTCATGTACTTAAAATTAATTTTTGGGCTATCCAGGAGCTAGTCTCTACGCCCCTGTTCGCCACACACAAAGTTCACGAAGAGGGCGTCCACACAAGGACCACGTGACTATCCTTGAAATTTGCCCTCCGACTGAGTATCTCCAACTGCAGGGCTCTATAGTACTTTTGTGATTGCAGCTGAATTGCTGCTCTAACCTTGCAACCAGGCCAGAAGATCCTGGTTCACTGGGTCAAGGAGGGACAGACAGCAAAGGGAGAATGGGTCACTGGGCCCTGAATGTTTACAATTTCAAGCCCTTCTTTGGCTGGAGAGATGAGAGCCGCACACACCGGCCTTCACAGAGGGCGTGTCTACATCTGTCCTACCTGTACCCTGGACTCCGGCAAGTTGATTTTCAGAGCCACCTCCTCCCGCATGAAGATGTCTGGGTACCGGGTCTTGGCAAACAGAGCTTCCAAAACGTCCAGTTGTGCCCTGGTGAATGTAGTCCTCTCCCGCCGCTGTTTCCGGGGGGTGGCTGCAGGACAAGAAGCCCAGGGCCCTTTAGGGTGGGGAGCAGTTTCTCAGTCACGGGACTTTTGTCTCGGTCCACGACTTCCCCACCTCCCACCGCGTCCCTACCGAGGATCCCCACCCCCTCCAGAGCCTAGCCGGACAGCGGGACACGCAGCCTCGCAGGGCAGTGTCCCCGCCTCCCACTGCGAGTGTCCCCCCTGGTCTACAGAGTACCACTGGAGAGCTAACAAAATAAACCGAGTAAAGACAATTCCCACCCTCATGCCCAGTTCTGGAAACAAACAAGAAACAACCGCCAGACCACAATACCAACAGAAAAGGCTGTCCGGTAAAGTTAGGGGCTCTGCAAGGACCAGAGGCTAGAAATGACTGGGCGGACGGACAGCCAGTTCCAACAGTATTTTAACACCGCAAGAACTTCAGTTTCTATATCTTTAAAATACAACAGTAGTTCAGACTTTTACGAGTATTTGGTGGGGGGGGGGTGACGGAAAAAGGTGCCTAGCATCTGGAAGGAAGCCACACCTCTAAGGATTAAAGGACGGGGCCTGGAGGCACCAGAAGCCCCTGGCAAAGCCAGAGAACTATAGGGTACAGTAGGAGAGTAAATTTGATCACTCCCAGGGTGACACTAGTTAGAAATTGGGCGTGGAGACTAGGCAAAAGCATATTCAAGTCACAAGGTCAACAACCTTCCACGACCCTGACCAATGAGTGTCCCCCAAGCCACTCTAATTAAGAACGGAGCGGTGTGTTTTTCTGTGACTGCTGCAGACCTCAGATCGTCTCTTCCCAGCCTCTTGTTCCCTCTTGGGTCAGTAAATGCCCAGTGGCTGCTTCGTGACAAGGAAAACGCAGTGGGGCCCCGGCCTGGCGCTTGAGTGTGAGAGCCCTCCAACCTCCGAGCTCCTGAGGGGCGAGCATGGGGAAGGGCGTTGAGAATGCCGTGTAGCTCACTTACCCGGGTAGCCCACGGACGGATGCAGCAAGTCCATACCCGAAGTGGTCAGACTCAGCCCATTGACTGCATAAGGCGGTTGCTTTAGATAAGACATCATGCTAAGGTTGTTTGGAGGCGCAAAGTCGGCCCAAATTGGGGGAACCCAGCCGGACGGTCGCGATTCTCCTGGAGTGGACAGGGTCAGTGTCCTTGGTGGGTGGGTTTGGCGTGATGGAGCTAAGGGCAAAGCAAACAAACAGAGATGCTGGTTTACTGCTTCTGAGGGAGCAGCTTCCTCCGCGTTCCATCACTGGCTAAAGAGAGTCAGGGCGACGCTAGACACAGGCTTTTAAAGGACTTGCAGATGCGCCCCCCCGCCGTCCCCCTCAACCCCCAACAGCTCCAAAACTAGAGGGGATGGAGCGAGACCAGATAAACCTGTCTTCCCCACCCCCACCCTAAACTTAAAAAAAAAAAAAAAGACCCGAGGAAAGCAATTACAATCTGCCTTCCCCAAGAACAAAACCCCACGCCTCCAAATGCACACATTACATTCCTATCCCAACATTTGCATAGGACTCATTGGCTGGCACTAGCTAATTGTCTCAAACAAAACTTGATTGGGGCCATTTGCAGAGACAAAGAACTCTTTGGCTAAATAAATAATGCTGATAACAAAGCCCATTGGTGAGAAACAAAGAAACAATTCAAGAATTCTACCTCTTCCCAGACTGTTGCCTTTCCCTGGCAGAGATTTTAATTATCTTAGCTTTTTTTAAAATTATTATTACAACTTTCAACTGCTGTGAAACTAAAATGTAAATGCATTTAACATTTAAAATACCAAGTTACTGAACAACAAACTTGAGAAAACTGCCCAACCACTATTATTCCACATTTGAAGTCATTTCCAGTAATCATTTTCACCTAATTAGTAGTTTGGATAATTAGATTTCGAGGTAAGTAACAGATTTATTAGGGTTTTGTAGAACCTTGATTATATGTGTCTAAAGAACTATGGCTAAACAAACAAGTATTTAACTTTTAAGCGACACCCTTCAAATAGTTAATTTAAACATATTGCAAAAAAAAAGTCTTCAAGATTAGCACAGGACGTGCCAGAAATGTTGAAGTAAAGTTAGAATCCCACCAATCAGAAAAAAGCAGGCCCCCACATTTTGCAAGTGGGAAGTGCATTCGCAAAGCAAGCTACTTCCATGTTGATTTGATGAGGCTACAGATCCTGGCAGATTTGGGGGTTTGGGGCTCTCAGAGGCTGCCCCAGATTCCTGCTAACTGGATCTGCCTTTCCCACACGTTAGGTTTGAAGTAGATAAACATTCAAAGCTATGAAACTAATAGGAATCCTCTCTGCCTCCCAAATTTTCTATAATTACATAAGAAAAAGAGGATGGGGGAAGAAAAGGAAAAAAAATCTGAGTCCCCTCCCCCAGAGCTATGTTAACACAGGCAGGCAGCATCCTAGGCTTTTATTTCCCTAAAGTTCGGCACCTATACTTGCCAAGATCTCTGCTTGGCAACTTTGACACTCTTAGAAACTTCCTCAAAATGGCGGATACAAGATTGTGAGTTTTCTTTCACCTTCATAATGAAATACTATTAATGAAATTAAGGGCTGTAGGTTTTCATATTTACCTCTTTTAGAGACCAAGGCAAAAGTTTCTCAGACGGAACTCAACAACTACGACTTTCTGATTTAAATTCAGAACACAAGTCATGTTTTCCCCACCCTAAGATGTGGATTTTTTTAAAATGTCCTTTTTAAAGAACTGGATTATTAACTAGTAAAACTGGTTGCTCTTACAAAAAAACACTTTATGTTCTGTATTCCTTCTCCCAAGATCCAGCTAGTTGGGGCTGTGAAAGTAACAATATTTAAAAACAGTCGTTGCTTGGATAGCCTCTGAAGGGGAGTTCTTTGAAAATATTCTTACCCCCTTGAAAAGTTCTGAATTGTTACATAGGAGCTAAAACTCCCATCTAATGTTAAGATGGGGAAATGTGTTTGCTAGTCTAAACACATCATTTGATAAATGCAGCGTGTTCCACCATAAAAAGCAATAATAAAAAATAGGGGCGAGATCCTTCCTGGAGAGCCAAAATGGCCCAAAATCTCAAGGTAACCTATTTTCATTTTTTCCTCCTGGGGGGAAAAAAGAGAGAGAAAAAAACGCAAACCACGGGGACTCCTCCACAGCCAGCCTAGATAATAAACACGGGTGGAAGACGGCTGCGTGCCCTTCCAGCTAACTTCCACAGCCGGGCAAGGATCCCACCCAGCCTCCTCTCCACGCACAATGCAAAGGGGGTGTGGGCAGGGACGCCCTTCCGAAGACATAAGGCTCCATGTGACCGCTCTCGTAACGAGGTGGCTGCCGAGAGCTCATACCTAGGCGGAACCGGCGGTAGCGTGGCGAGTCCCCGAGTGCCCTCACCTCTAGGCGCAGGCGACTGGCTCCGGCGTCCCTTCCCTGCAGCCCCGCAGATCTGCTGCGCAGACGCCCAGGGCCCCTCTCCTCTGCCTGCGCTGGCCTGCACAGCCTTATATCTAACGGTCAAGTCGTGCAATCTGTCGCTTCCCCCTCCAAACCCCCCCTCCTTGGTGTGTGTGTGTGTGTGTGTGATTTTTTTTTCTTCCAAGAAGCGCATCTACCAGTTGCCGTGTCCTCGCTCAATAATAATTACCTCGTCCGAGAATTAATTATAATAAATGTTTTCTTGATAAACTAACGAGATAATCCGAGGGGCACACGTCCCTTAATTACAGGCCGTCGTGCTCAGCTCTGCTTCTCGTCCTGGCTGATTAATTTTCTGCATGATGGAGGGGAAACAAAACTACGAGGACTGGCGACTGGCCCGCGGCCGGGGAGAGGACGAGAGCCGGGGGGGGAGGAAGAAAGAAGAGGTACGCGGGCACCTGGAAAACAGCCGGCGCCGGCCTCGGCCCCGCCAACTCGAGGGAAAGTTTCCGGCCTCGGGGAAGCAACGACTCCACCTCCCGCGAGCGAGCGAGCGAGGGAGGGAGAAACGTGCCCAAAGGGTTGATTACAGCTCGGAGAAGAAGCCCCGGTGCCAGGTCAGGGAGGAGAGAGGCCTGGACGTCTGTCTACCTTACTTTGGGGGAGGAGTTTGCACAACTCCACTCTGGTGCTCATAACTTTCGGCGAGCGGGGAAAAGTGCGGAGGAGAACGGGCGGAACCGTGACCCTCTGGGGTGGAGAGCCCGGCTTCCAGGGAGAGTGACTCTTCTCCCGGCCCCCTCCCCAAGCGCTGCACCACGGCAGGCAGGCAGGCAGGGCCACGCTGCTGGGCCTCGTCTCTCCGAGCACCGCCAACACCGCTGCTCTCCGTGCAAAGGACGGGTTCGGACCGAGGCTCTGGGGCTCCCGGAGAAACGCGTCGTGAGATCGGACCCCGGCTCTCCGCCGCCTCCTTGAACGCACCAATGCTGCCACTCCTTCGGGGTTTGCAGCGCGACCCCGTCGTCGCCCAGGCCCCGTGCTACAGGCGACCTTCTGGTGGCTCCTGGGCAGGCCTTGACCCACGATACGTCATTGTCCCCGAGCCTGAGAAGGCAGCGCGTAAACGCGCAGCGGCCCACGGGACCACCCCGGGCCCAGGAGCGACTGAAGAGCCCCAAGTCCCAGAATTCCGGGGTCGCTGACCGGGAGCAGCCCGGCGTTCACCACCCACCCCACTTCAGGCCGCCCCAAGTGCGAGCGGAGGCTACGGCGCGCGCCCCGAGCCACCCCGAGCAAAGTCGCGTTTAAAAGCCCTAACTAGCGGGCCTCCCCGCCTGGCGGTGGTCCCCGGGGCCACGACCACCGCGTGCAGCGGCTACACCCCTCGTAGGGGTGTGGAGGGCGTGTTGTAGAGATTGACGAGCTCCAGAGGCTCTGAGAAGAGGCGGGGAGCAGAACTGCTCTGGGCTGGGGGACAGAAGACGACGAAGAGGGGAGAGCAGACGACGCGGGAGCAGCCAGACGCCGGTAAATCCGCCTCCTCGGTTATCCGCTTCCCTTGGCAAACTGGGGGCTCGAGAAGCAACCCGCGCGGTCCCGGCCGACCGACGGAGGAGCCGGGCTTCCGGAGCACCCGCCTTCGGAAGCACCCCCCCCATTATCATTGTTTCAATTTACCAACCTGGGTACATGCACAAGCATCTTTTTTTTTTTTTTGTCACAGACACTAAAAATGTCCTTGGGATCAAGCCTAAGGACTCCAGCCAAAAGCAGGTGACCAAATACAAAGCTTGCAAGGAGAAGCCATGAATAGGGTAGGCATAAGGACAAAACCCCTCCCCAACACCCCAGATTAGACTCGTAGGGTTTCCACGACGTTCCGCCGCAGCGGCGACCCCAGGAGCACGCGCTCTCACTCCCTCCCACCCCCAAATTTTCCTAATGGTCATTATTTCGCCTCAAGATTCTTACTAGGGGGAAAAAATCGGCCCCAGAGGAACTCCACGTCCACAGAGTTGCATTAGAGGTGCGGGGGTCGCTGCAGACTGGGGAACACAAAAGATATCGCCATAGACAAGACAGACGGACATTTACTTACCTTACAGCCACATTGGAGGTTAGAAAAGAAAAAAAATCAAATTATCCTTCAAGATTCCAAATAGCCAGCTATCCTAAAAGAAATCAAGAGTATTCAGTTAAAAAAAAAAAAAGCTGGTAGTCTTCACCCTTCCATAAAAAGTCAAACATAAGCAAAAAAAAAAAAAATCCTTTCCTAGACAACAGAAAATGAAGTGGCCAGAGTTGTATACAAGCGTGTGTCCGTCCACGATACATACAAAGTAGATGTGACCACCGAGCTGCTCTAGCGATTTTTATTTTTAATAATAGAGGAGGCTGAGTTGGAGCTGAGGAAGGTTCCGCTCTCAGACAGATTTGCTGAGAAAGCGCCTCTCTGGCAACTTTTTGACGCAAACTCTCCAACCAATGGCAGGGAGAGAATGATTGACACATCTAAGCCAGAGGGAAAATAATAAAAACACACAACAGGGGGAGGAAAACAGGCCGCTGCTGCACCGGGGGAAGAGCAGGCAACAAATCCAGGCCTCCGACACTACCAGAATGTTCTTAGAAACGCTGGACTGCGCCCTAAAATATACATTATGGCCGGAGCATGTGAACTAATTGTATAATTAAAATGATGGACAGGAAGGCCTCCCCCTTCGTCCTTTCTTCTTCCCTTAACACCCCTTCCTTGTCCTCTCCTTTTTTTGTTTTTATTTTAGGGAAAGGACACCAAAACAACGATAGACGGGAAAATGAAAATATTTAAATCAGAGCTGGAAAAGAGGGGGGGATAACTCCAACGCTAGCAAAGAATGAGCGGGGGTCAGGCGGAACTCTAGCCCAGGCTCACGCTTAAAATCACGGCTGTGTCCCCTTTAACAGGGCCAGCCGGCGCCGAGGGAAAAGCCGGTGCAGGAAGGGAGCCGGGGCTGAGGTGTGGACACACAGCGCAGAGAGATAAACTCACAAGGCTGTGAACTAATTATTTGAAAACCTCAGTGTCCTCGCGGCTCTTCAACCCCTTTCGAGTAACTCCTGGGCTTTCCGGCATGCTCCCCCCCCCCCCAATGTGAGAAGCCCAGAACAAGATGGGAGGGGAAAAAAAATCCGCTCACTCCCAAATCTACCCCCAGGGCTGGTTGTGGGCCAAGGAGGGGCTATCTCAAATCTCCCGGGCGTGAGTGTGGGGTGGCCCAAGCCCCCTGTGGAAACAGTTTCTGCATAAGAACAAATTCCTAATGCTGTAGGGCCTGGAGCTAACCGGGATGGAGCCGCCCGAGCCTGGGGCTGAAACCCGGGAGCTGGGAGGCTTCGGGACCGGGGAACCAGCTCAACTTGTCAGGTCCAGGTCGAGCACCCGGCCGCCTTCACTGGGATCTGAATTTCCTAGAAGAGCAGAAAGAGCCTGGACGGAGTATTAGGGGCTGGCGGGCAAACGCAGCTGCTGAGTGCGAACGCAGGGTACGCGCGGGAGTGATGGGAGAAGACAGCTTTTCCCTCCCAACTCCCAACGCCGAAGGGGGGGAAAGAAAAAAAAACACAAACCCTCCCACAACAACAACCACAATCCCCACCACCCCTCACTACCTCGGTCACCGCCGACACCACTGCTAGTGGGCCCAAAGAAACTGCTCGTTGCCTCTAATTTGGGGACCTATGTTAATGAAGTCGGTAATTAATTCGTCGCTTTGTTGTCGGTTCTTATACTGTACGTGTAATCAAATGTGGCCGTCCTTGGGATTTACAGCAATTAGCGAATTACGGGAGTGTGCGAGAGGCTGCAAGCTAGGCTAGGCTGGCGGCCCGGCTGGGCTCGACTCCGGCTCGGCCTTGGGCTGGTCACTCGGCTGCCGCTGCAGACTCGCAGGTGTTGTCTTGAGAGCTTTGGGTCCCGGCGGCTCCACGGACCCGGGAGAGCCCCCACGGACCCGTCCAGCTCTCCCCGGCTCCCCCGTAGCAGCTCCAACACGAAGAAAAGTCCTGGCTGCCGCGTACCCTGGAGCCACGACTTTGCGGGGGCCTAGGCTGGGGGCGAGCAGGGGGCGCGGGGGGGGGAGGGTGAGAAGGGGACCTTTCTGCTACCCCGCCCCCACGGTGCTGAAACACCTGGCGACCGTCCCTAAGGCCTTTCCTTCAGGAGGGGGAACGTCCCAGGCGGTTGTCCCGCGTGGCGCGGGGCTGTGGGAAGCCAGGTCCTGGCTCGCAGTCCGTGCTTTGGAAGACCGAAGGGCAAGTTCACCCGAACCTCTTGGAGAAGAGTTTATTGCCCATCCCTAGAAAAGAGTGATTCCCAGTTTGTTCGTAACGACGTTGAAAGAAAGCGTCCAAGGGCGAAAAGGGGAATTTAAAGAAAAAAAAAAAAGAACCTCGTGGATGTGACGGAGCAAGGCCTCGGGGACGGGGGAGAGGTGGGGTGCGATAAAGAAATAGGAGAGCTTGTTGGTCTCCCCCCCAAAATCGGAGAGATCCATCTGCAGACAGGAGGGTCCAGAGACCGGGAGCACCTCAAGTCCCAAGCGAAGGTTTGGGTTGTCGTCTGAGACATCCCAAAGCTGTCGAACCTCCTTGAAAATTCCGGAGAGCCCTCGACAGCGGAGGGTTTCTGCGGGATGCGGCGTGGGAGGGCTTTCCCCCTTAGCGGCTGGCAGCCCGCAACCCCCGCTCTCCCCTCGCCCTCCAGCCTAATAACTTCGCAGAAATACAGGGCCAATAAACCACCAGTTGGAAATGGACAGTGTTAAATAAACAAGGGTCTCTTTAAAATTCTCATCCACTTCAGATGTCTAAAGTAAGATTGTGATGATTTTGTCACGGTTTGGTAAATTTACCCCTTTAAGAGGCTTTCATAAATCCCAGAACACACCTTCAGCCAGATTTGAATATAGATTTAGGTTTTAAAACCCCGAAGCTGGAAACACCGCTTTATCAAAGAGAATTTCCCTTTAGCTTAGCAATGTGCTGCAGCTCTGAAAAGATTGGATCTGAAAGACAGAGAGAGGCAGGCGGGAAAGAAAGCCAGAGACAGAAATGTAGACAAGGGAGGGAAGGGGGAAAAGACTTTTCTTTTTCTTTCTAGAGGAATTCTGCCCAGACTCTTCAGCAGTTGGTAGCAGGCAAGCTTTCTCCTGTGTCGCCTGGAAAAGTTGCAAAATTGCTCTTCACCTGTAAGAACACGCTCTTTATCTTCCAGTGTCTTCTTGCCAATCTGGAAATTGCAGACAGCCCGGCTCAGGTACCGTTTCCACAAACTCTATTCCAGGTCAGGACAAAAGCCACTGGCTTTGGGGAAAGAGGGGGCGGGGTTGGGCTGTTTCACAGAAACCCTTAGAAGCTTGATGGAGAAAAAGACTCCTTGGATGGCAACATCTCTTGGTTTTCAGTAAGTTCTTGAGACTCCGATATACTTACTATTCATTGTATTTCCTTTATCCAGAGTCTAACTTTTCTCCCATTAAAAAACCAAAAACAAAACCTTTCCTCAGGATCTGACTTAATGGTAGCATGCCTTGTGTTTTTCAATAATTCTCACCAACAAGTGGGTGATTTTAATTGCCATGTGTACAATTACCTTGCTAGGCAGATGCGATATAAGGGACTCAGAGGCTAAGTGAAAAGAAGCAATGTACGTGGAATCAAATTATTTGTCAAGGCTTGCATGCGGCTACCAGATTATGGTTGATATTCATGTTTTGAAATCTAGATTTATGTGTATCACTAACTGGCCTTATTTTTCTTCATTCAAAAATGCCGAACTAGTTTAAGATATTCCAAACTTTCCCCCAAGTTTATTAACTATGGGAGTTGGGGGGGGGAGCCATCTCTGGAGTCTTACAGGCTAATTTAAAATAAAAGAAGAAAACCCATATTCTACAAGAGCACAGTTGGTGGGCAGGGGGGGGTAGCTAGACTCCCTAACACCAACTTCTGAAACATGAAGATTAATTTCAAATCTTTCCAGCAATTCAGCGGACAGTTGGAGGGGGAGCACACACCACATTTTGCCCGAGAAACACCACCTATGAAAAAGAAGTAATTAATTCTTCATTAGGCTTTCAAGTGTGACTTCATCTTAAAACTTCCAACATTAATTCTGATTATTTTTAGCAGGATTTAAGATCGGCACTGTGGGCAGGGTGGGGGGATATATGGAACCGACCATTTATGAATCAAGCTTGGGTCATTCAGTGCCTGTCCTCGGGTTGGTTCAGAAAAGAGGGTAAAGGAAACAGGAATAACTTCAAAGATAGAGCTGTGTGTGGTGTTGATGAAAGAGCAGGGGCCAAACTCCAAATGCAGAGAGAGAGAGAGAGAGAGAGAGAGAGAGAGAGAGAGAGAGAGAGAGAGAGAGAGAGAGAGAGAGAGAGAGAGAAAGAGTAGCGTGTTGTTCCGGAATGTAATGGATTAAGATTGTGTGACGAGTGGGAGATGTGGGCTGTGAGACATTTATGAGCTGAGTGTGAGCTGGGAGCTGTGTGCCTGTCCCAGAGAGGACAAGGACCAAGGGTAGCGTGTGTGCAGGGCAGGGCTAGGGTGAGGGAGAGTAAAGGCGAGCATGCTTGCGAGTGTGCGAGCGTGCGTGTGTGTGCGAGTGTGTGTGTGTGTGGATAGATTGTGATAAAGGATGGTGACACTCAGTTTACGTGATTTTCATCTGCTAGTCTTAAAGTTTCCTTGAAATCAATTCTACTGCAGGCAGCAGCCTTGAGCTATAGAGCTACTGCAAAACAACCATTACACTCCAATATCTCGCCTGTTTGCAAACTTCATTTAAAACTGGGGGAGGGGGGGAAGACCCAGGAATGGTTTTGTAAGAAAGGAAAAAAAGAAGAAAAGAAAACCACAGTGAAGCTTTAAACTAGTTTGGATAAAACTCTAATCTTTTATTTGTAACCTTTTACAAGCTTTATTTCCCTATATGAAAAGCTTCTTTTATATGGGCATGGCAGACTTTTTCTTTGGATTTTTAATTAGAGCCCATCAATTGTAGCCATATTTAAGAATCAATATAAAGTAATCCTTCGAGATGGGATAAGGTTTTAATCGAAAATCTAATTTCCCACTCTTTGCAGATCATTTTAAGAAGCTAGTTGATTAAAAAGCGAGAGAGTTCAATATTTAAAAGACATAACACCCCAAACCTGGAAAAAATCGTGTGTGCAAGAAACCACTGATGTTGCCCTTTACAAAGGAAAGCCCCGCTGCTGGTAGGAACTTCTTTCTTCTACTTAGAAGAATTTGGTGTGGGTTTTTTTTTTCAAATGCTAGACTCAATGTGGCTCCTATCAGGCGTCTCATATAGAATGAGGCAGAGACTTGTTTGTTTGAAACAGTTTTCCACAAGCAAAAACTAGCCTATTTTTAAAAATCAGCTAAAAGCACATAGCTCCTCTTGATAGGTTCTTTTTGTTGCATATTCCCCAAC